TTAATTGGCGTAATAGGCGTATAGTAAAGTGCTTGTGGTGTAACCTAAAATCTGAAAGGAAAAAAAAAACAACGGTATTTCTCTCTACGCTACCAGACGTATTCCATAGTGCAGCATACACTCGCTACACTGAGAAAAAAACGACAGCGTTTCTCGTATCGTTGTGGTTAGAAAATTTTAGCTCAATTATTGATTTTTTGTTGTATGAGGTGAATAAAAAGTTTGTCTCACCCTTGTTCCAACGCTAACTGGATCATTGCCAGGTACACCAACTCCTACACCGAAACCCACATCTGGAAAACTTAAAGTCCCACAAACAAATATTATATTTCAAAGCTAAAATCCTTCTTTATGGGTTTTCTACTGGAAAAAGCCGTTGATTTATTGATAGAGTACTGATCTCACTTATTGTTCCAATGTCCTTTAATAAACCATTGCGATTTGGGTCGACTTCTTCATAATATGGCGTTGTTGTAGCAACTTTTTGTGACATTTTCGTCCTAATTTCCTTACTGTCCCGTTCTGGCCACTAAATAGAGGGGGCAATCGATAAAATCAATAATTTGATAAATTGAACTTACTTCCGTTAGGCCATCGTGGAAACCCCAATTATTCTTTGAGGAGACCACCTCCTCTCTTTCCGCTACTCTTTCACTCTTTCTTGTAGGACGCCTAAAACTAATCAATAAAGTGGATCAGTACATCAATTACCAGCTAAGCTAAGAAAATTGCCGACTCGTATTCCTTCTTTGACCCAAATGGATTGTGAGGGACATCTGTAGGAACTTCGTCATTCTCTTCCGTATCAGATGCATGAACTGAAAAGTTTGGGATTATGGTAGCCCCAATTTACCGCTAACACAAACTGACCCAGTGTAATCAAGAAATAAGCGATAGCTATGGTGGCAATGTGGGACATTTGTCACTTGGCGGGGAAGAACGATCATGATTGGAATGGCGCTCTGGAAACCGGCTTTATTCACTTGGTTGAGTCGATTTGTTTGATTTTGTGTTTATGGTGTACTGCACACAATGCACTAACCTTATGATTTTCTACAAACTATTAAAACTTCTCAAACTTTAAAAACGGCTTCTACTTAAGAATGCTAGAATTGGTGAATTTATATCTTACAATGGTTCTGTAACTTTGCGACAGTTATTCCAAGTGAAACTAGCACTATTGTGCTTGAAGACACACTACATGACCAAAAACCGGTCACAGTTGGATGTGTCCACTTTGTTCTTTACGCCAAGGAGAGGCGTGAAGTGTTGCTTAGTGATCTCTGTTATAGATGGAGTTTCCCATTTCTTGCCACTTCTAGTTGGAGAATCTTGGGATTTTTTTTTGATTTTTGGGAAAGTTTATGTTATTTTGGCGCAAATGTGAATTGTCTATGTTTTATAATGACGAAAATATTGATGAACAATAAGATTCAGTGATCCTTCACGATTATGACATCCCATTGCCTATTCGCGGAGTACCGCTTTTTTCCAGTGAATGGTTACCTTTCCTTGAAAGTAGCCAATTCATCGCCTAAGCCGAAAGCGCAAATGTAATAACAGTTAGAACGAAGTCCTTTTTTAGACCAAAATAGTATGAGAATAGTAAGTAAATATTTCTCAGCTAAGTAAGGAATAGTGCCAAAATCTTGAACTTATCTCGTTTCATTTTCTTCACTACAAAATCCAGCTTTACCTGTTTTTACAACTTTTAGCAAAAGCAGATCCTATTTACTTTTTTTTCGCTTAAAATATATCTTTGGCACAAAATTTTCGCCAAAATATATCTTTTTTCTTGTTAACGTGTTAAGTACGACACTTAATGAATTTAATTGATCATCTTTCAAATTCTGTTGTCTACGCGAAACCTGTTCTCAATTTGTCGCTGCGTTCGCTTCCTTGAACTCGTAATATCATCACAAACTTCTTCTTGTAGTATGTCTAGCGCAGAAAAACATTATACGCGAAATCGATAGATTTAATATATCATTTGCAGTGAAATTTTCAACTTTGTGATTTAAAAAATTTCTAGTAGTAACTTTTAGAAAATCGGCAAT